AACACTGAGATCATGATCGCCAATAACACTTGATCATTGTGATATTATTTTATTTTTATTATTGCCTAGCATGTCGATATTATTAAACACATTCACCTCTTCCTCATCTTTGTCTTCTTCCTCTTTCCGCGCGATAAAACAACGAACTTATTTCCGACTTTTTATCAATCTGTTTTTTCATTCATCTAATTGTACATTTAAATAAATCATCATTTTAATGCAACATGCTAAACAGTGTTTCATTCTGAATCATCACAGCCAACAGTTCTATTTTTTCCCAAATTGACTATAACACTCATCTCTACTTTACCTAAAGCTCACATTTAGCTTATTTTTTCATCTTTGCCCGAACTTTGAACATCATCATCAGCAGTCACCATGCCCTACGCCACTCGTAAGATGGTGAAGTACATGAAGGAGAAAGGACTGAGCAGCTCTGGTGAAAGCTCAGATGAAGCCGTCTCCAGCGGCGAAAACGACAAGAAAATTCGTGAACTGCCCAGCTCGGTTGATCCAGTGGAAGATGAGCCTCAGGGGGATAAGGCCAGCCCCAAGTCGCCTGGCGGTGTTAAGCAAGTCAGCAAGACGAGCAGCAAGTCGAAGAAAAAGACGAAAAGCAAGACAAAGTCAAAGTCGGCAAAGCTGCGCAACAAATCGCTGGTCAAGTCGAGCACCGGCAAGGTGAAGGGAAAACCTCGCTCTGCCAAGTCGAGCAAGTCCACAAAGAAGGGCGCCGCCGCCCCTGCCGGCAAGGTAAAAATGATCCCCGCTACTGAAATGGCTCTGAAGCCGCTGCAGGTGAAGGGCNGACGCCACTGAGTCCTCGGAAGAGGGCAAGAAGGCTTTCAGCATGTACAGCATCGGCGAGAAGAAGCCACTGGAGAGTGGTGCCAAGCCGCNAAGCCGCTGCAGGTGAAGGGCGTCAACTACGGCGAGATGACCTTTGACGAGAAGAAGGTGCAGTTCATCGCCGCTTTGCTCAAGTCCAATGTGCGCAAGCTGAAGGAGATGGACGCCACTGAGTCGTCAGAGGAGGGCAAGAAGGCCTTCAGCATGTACAGCATCGGCGAGAAGAAGCCACTGGAGAGTGGTGCCAAGCCGCACTCGGCCAAGGCCCTTTACCTTTGCACGCACAAGTCATTTCCGCCTGACGTTCAGGTCATCGCCAAGCTCTACGACCCAAAGACGTACGACCCGAAGAGTTCGCTTTTTCTCAAGGTGCTTCGCCATCTGGGAAAGAAGCACCCTAATGTCATTCAGGTGGCAAAAGATATTAGGAGTTTTTATTGACTGTAATTTCTAATTTCTCTTTCTCCTCAGACCTGGGACGTGATTCACCACGACGGCTCGATCTACGTTTTTCAGGAGCTGGTAAGAAAAAAAGAGTAGTTTTTTTGTCAAAAGCTAAATTTTCCTTTGTATTTCAGGCTCCCTACGGCTCAATGGCGGAGCACCTGAAGAAGAAGGGCAGTCAGCTGTCGGAGGAGGAGTGCCAGTTGGTGGCCTGTCAGTTGCGCACTGGCATGGACTTTCTTGGAGACATGGGAGTTTCTCATCGAGCTATTTGCCCCCGTCACCTGCTGCTCCTGCACAAGGACCTGCGCGTCAAGTTGACCGGTTTCCGTAGTGCGGTAATCTACTACAATGAGAAAAAGGATGACATCGCCTTTCAGCCGTGTCTGTCAGTGAAGAAGAAGTGCAAAGAGGGCACTGAGGACTACAATGCTCCCGAGATGTACGGCAACTCAAAGAAGGAGCAGTTTGACCCAGTGCAAGCTGATATCTGGTACTGAAGCATATAGGAGTTATTGAAACAAATTGACCTTTTTTTATTCTAGGTCTGCGGGCGCCACACTGTTTAACCTGCTGACTGGCAAGTTTCCCTATGACTGCCTAAAGAACAGTCCCAAGGTGGAGAATGAGATTCAGAGCAATATTCGCTCGCTGAAGCTCTCTGACAATGGCAAGAGCGCCCTTGGCTACATGCTCACCACCGAGTCCACCAAACGTTTCTCCACTGAACGTCTCAAGGATCACCCCTGGTTCCACGAGAAGTAGCCAGATCTCCTTTCTTTCTCACCAAGTTNTTTTTTTATTCTAGGTCTGCGGGCGCCACACTGTTTAACCTGCTGACTGGCAAGTTTCCCTATGACTGCCTAAAGAACAGTCCCAAGGTGGAGAATGAGATTCAGAGCAATATTCGCTCGCTGAAGCTCTCTGACAATGGCAAGAGCGCCCTTGGCTACATGCTCACCACCGAGTCCACCAAACGTTTCTCCACTGAACGTCTCAAGGATCACCCCTGGTTCCACGAGAAGTAGCCAGATCTCCTTTCTTTCTCACCAAGTTTTCACTGCAACAGCACACTACACTTTTTGTTCACCAACTTTCTTCTCTTGTGTGTTCAGTGATGCATTCTCAAAATCGGCGCCACTTGTGCAACAAAAAGTGTGGAGTTTATTGAAAACCATTTTTTACATTGTAATATAAAACCGATTCATTTACACATCCTGCTGTACATTTACTGAATGTTTTACATTAGGTTAAAAATTACAAGTTATGTTTCACATTACACCTTGCTTTGCTAGCAAACAAAAA